TGCAGAAGGGGCATCCCATGTGAGATGGAACTTCTAGCGAGCACGGTAGGAATCAGGACTCCACACAAGAGGACTCTGCAGTCCATGTATTTGGGGAAGCCTGGAGTTCCTGGATCTCTGCTTAAATTCCAGGTACACATAGTTATGTCCCAAAGTGGGGAGAAATCTGTTGTTACATTCCTTGAAATACTAATATTCCTCTTCTCCTTATTTTATGTAAGGAAGATTAGGAAAATATTAGTAAGACACCAAGAAAGACTAGGAAGGAGAAGGTGAAACTTGAAATGTTCCATTGATTTTCAAAGGGTTATTTACCTGCACTAGCACTGAAGCTTAAATTTGTCTTTCAAAGGATATTCTTGGCAGTTCACACAGCATACCTAAAGCTATTTTAGTTTCATAATTTTTAATAGAGAAAAAGGAAAGCATTCATATTTTATTTTTTTCCCATCTTTCAAGTGTGTGAAGGGATATATTTTGAGTGAAACACACTGGAGCAGTGAGTAGAGGCCATGGAGCCGTCTCTAAAAGGAATTTAATGAGGTGAGATTGTCTCTCTCCTCAAGGATTGGGCTTTTTTCATTTTGAGAACATGTTGTGAAATTCAGCAGGTTGTCAATCATACTACAGCCGCTTTGAGACGCGGGCTGGAGTATAAAAGATGGTCTATGTGCAGGGCTTATGTTTGGGTGTGTGGGTTGTGTTTCTTGGACAGTTTCTAACTAGCCATAGCGAAAGGGGAGAGGAGTACTAGTGGCTGGAAATCTGCAGCCTCTGCAACTGTTGAGAAATGTTGTAGCTCTGCAGAGTCTTTTTATCAGCAGGTCGCCTTTTGGACTTGCTTCCCATATCTAGAGAGAGGAAAAGTAAATCCCAGCTTTCCACCACCAGTCCCCACTTCAGTTTCCCTGAGTTTTTCCCCAGGTAATGCAGCTCTTTGTCCTCCCTGACAGCTTCTCCCAGCCTTCAGTTCACATCTGTCCTCTGGGTCCAGGGCTGGAGACTCTGTGAACAGAGGGCTGGGGGCAGCTCAGCTCATCCTCCCTTCTCGTTCATCCACAGGCACCCCCTGCACTGGTGGGACACTCACAGCTGTGAGTCTGTAGGAAGGTCTCTTACCAAGTCTCCTTGTAGACTTGTATCTACATTTTGGAGTCACCAAAAGTCTACTTACATTTTGCATTCACCAAAATCTATTTCTGACATCGCCTCAGTCACCAAAACTAGAGGGGCTGGAGCCTTTGTTGGAGTTTTTTCAAATGTGAGCAAAAAGTGTGCTCCTGTGCTCAGTTTTGTTCTGAGTTACAGCTGATCCTTTTGACTGACTGTGCTCCATAAACTCAATATAAGGGAACCTTTAGCATAAAAAAGTCAAAATATTTTGCTGAAGTTGTAAGTGTTAAAACCAGAGTTTTACAACAGAAAAACCAATTTCTGAGGAAATCTTAGTACCACATAGTATGAACATTTATTTACTGTATTAACACAGTGTCACATTAATCACAGGATTAACAGCCATCTCTTCCAATACAATAGATATTGATCAGTGGAGGGGTGCCTGTGCTGTCATAAATACACACAGGTAGTGGTAGTGCAAACACAAGGGAGCAAACTGGCTCTGATGGTTTCTGGCAAGGCAGCTTAATAAAAGTTGTCTCTTGACCTGAGATTCATTCACACGACTAAATCTGTAGTCCTTTCAGATCTTAGTTGTTTTAACAAAGTGATCTTGGCCTATGAATATGGAGGCCCAGGAAAAGAGTTGTGGGGTTTTGTTGTTATTGTTTTCCCCTCCACTGGTGAATGGCTACAGCACTGCCTTTTACTGAAGGAAATTAATTTGCTTTTGCAAATCTCTCTGAAAACCTTAAAATATACGTGGCTGGAGTACTTTAAAACAGATGGTTCACAAAGAGGTTCTTCCTGCAGCATCCTGAGGTGTCCTGGCTTCTCCACACAGACATGTGGCTCTACCAGTGGGTTATTTCTGCATCTCTTTTATGCTACTGGTATAATGTGAACATGATTTGAGTTTGTGTGAAATAGCAAAGTATGGCTATGGAGCTGATACTCAGCTGTACATCACTCTGAGGAAGTCAATGACACATCCCATCACTTGAGGAAGAACAATCATATTGTTATTGTACATCTGTTCAGACTTCAGATATTCTGTAAGGTAAGAGAAGTCCCAGATGGTTGAATTTAGAGTTTCTGAAGCACACAGCTGGTGCTATATTTGGTCTTGTTTCCTGTGAGTCTGCCAGTTTTACATGGAAATTACTTTCCTTGGCTCTGTTTTGCAATGGTCCTGCTCCCTCCCTCACCCAGGCTCTGGCGTGTCCTCAGTGTGAAAGGGATCTTTGGACAATTTCACTGTCAGACTGAAAAGGTGTCTGTGGAGCATCTGCTAGGTGATATTTTCCAAAGCTGTAAGCACTGACCACTGATTTGACAAACTTGACATTTGAAGATTGAATGCAATAAAGCTTCTCCACTAACCACTGTAGAAGTTGTGACTTAGCTCCACGCCTCATTTTTCACTGCCCTGGACTTGTGATCTATTTCTTTGCTGCTGAAGCTGTCCCAAAGTTATTTTCAGCAGATACTGCTAGGGAAAACCTCAACTCCAATGGTTTAAGGTTTACCAAAGTTACAAGCAAGTGAGACTGCTGGAGAGGTGTGCAGCAGCTCCCATGGTAGAGTGCTTCGCCAGCTGGGCTCAAGGATGGAGAATCCCCCATGGACATGGGCAAAGGAAATGAGCCCACCAACATCAGGTTATTGAGCAAGCTTCTTCACAGAGCTCTGCCAGACGTTTTAGTTGTCAAACATTTTCCTCTGTCGTACTCGGTACGTCCATGTACATGTTTGAGCCATAAGAGTCAGGGTCTTGCTATGAAAAGATGGTAGAGGAGAAGCCCATAGTTGTCCACTGAGAGGTCCTGGATCCCTCCAAAGGCAGTCTCGGAGATAAGCACTTGGCAGTCAGCCAGGCAGAGCCATATCCTTCATTCTTCTCTGTAGGCACGGGTCTTTGGCCATGACAGGAAATGGCCAAGGTTTCACAGGGTCCTTGTACCAATACCTTTTGGTACAAATTAAAACCCCATTCCAGCAGGGAGAACTTCCACAGAATTCACAGCTCTCTGAAATTTATTTTAAACCTGACCCTTTTTTTCTTCATACCAGTACAAGCAACATTTATTGTCATCCTTGGCCCTGGTCTGCTTTGACCAAAGTGGATGTTTTTTCTCATGGGATAATGTGATCCCATTAAACAACAGTTCTGGGAGCTGATGGTGAGAGTCAGGTCACCTTCATGAGAGTCCAGACACAGAGCTGGAAGGCTGACAGCTCTGAATGGCTGGATGAAAGCTCCATGCAGAGATGAAACCAGATGTACTTGCATTTCAACAGTTAGATAGATTAACTTGTTTAAAAAAATAAACCCCACAAACACTTATAACTAACAGGAGCATTCCTCAGGAGAAAGCATCAGAAAACAAACTGGAGTGGGCAGCAGGGGACTGTGCCAGCTGAACTGTCTGTCATATCCCAAACTGCTGGGTGGCTTTGAAAAGACTGGGCTTGAGCCACTCCTGTGAGCAGAGCAAGGCTTTCCTCCAGGCAGGCAGAAGTACATGGGGAACGTCAAAGTACTTAGAGAAGTGGTGAAGCTCAAGTGACCCCAGTGCTATCCCCAAAGCAGTTTGACCTGAAGTAACCCCATGGGGTAATTGGATGACCTCAAGTAACCCCAGTGTGGTCCCTGGAGAGTTGCTTTGGCCTCAGCTGAGAGGCAGGATCTCAAACTCTGTCTCTTGTGCCTGGTCCAGCTGAGCCCCACTGTATGTCTGGTCACACACACCTTTAGTTTTACATGGAGCAGCTATGGATTTGGAGAGAGCTCGAGCAGACACCAACCCCCTTTGAAAGTCCAAACCCTGGCTCTGCCCAAGGGCCAGCCAGTAACAGGACACATCACCAGCTGCCATCTGCTGTTGTGGACAGAAGCAGCTGTTGCCTTCTCCTGAGCCCCCTCTGAAGGAGGGCCCCACTGTGGGCTGCAGGGCTGCTCTCCCTGTGGCACTTTACCTCTCTGGGCTGGAGGACAGACGCCTCTGCAGGTGTCACAGGAGCTGGGCTGCAGGAGCAGGCTGCTGCTCTTCTCTCCCAGCTGCACCTCTGATCTCCTGCGGGGAGTCCTGGGACTTGGCTTGCCTGTGGGTGAGTGTGGGCACGTTCTGTGACCGTTTGCCATGAACCCTCCAAAGTCCTGAAAATGAAAAGCAGTGAGAGCCAAGTTTTAAATTCTTTATCTCCGTGTCTGTGTCTCACCTGGAGAAGGGTGAATGGTGCCTCTAGTGGGGAGGAATGCAGTGGAAGGCATGGGGGTTCTGCCCTGGGACAGGAAGGAGGCAGGAAGGGAGAGGCTGTGTTTAGGTGTGTGTGGAGGGACCACCTAGCTCATGACCATTGGGGTATTCCAGTGGCTTACACTGGAATTGAGAGTGTCTCCATCACAGGCCAGGACAATCCACTCCCTGTGAGAATAAGGGTCTTCATTAGACCCACCGACAGGAATTCTTCTCACCTTTGTAATTCAAAATCTTAGAGGCAAAATCCCAGCCTTGGCATCTCTACTGGAGCCAAGGTCTCAAAATCTTAAGTTGCCTCATGGAGAAGGAAGGGGATGCACAGGAAAGGGGACACAAAATAAAGCAAGAAGAAAAAGTAAAGCAAGAAATAATAAATAACTGCACAGCCCAGTATCTGAGCAGGGGAACCAGAATCCAGGTCGTCTCACAGCTTACTGCCCAGACACGGGGGTTTTAGCAAAGCAGAGCAAAAATACTTGCTGGAGACAGGGCCAGCTCGGCTGGCTCCTGAGCTGCTCTGCCTGGCCCGGCCCCGCACGGGGTGGGGGCCTGCCTGGGACAGCCGTGAGCTGCCTCCGTGGCTGTGCAGCGAGCGCTCCCTTCTCCCTCTGTCCCCTGCAGAACGGCAGCTCTGGGGCTCGGACCTTCAGCTCCCCCGGATGCCTTTTGCCGACGTCCTGTTCAGCGACGAGAGCGCCTACCAGTGGCTCTGCACCCTGAGGAGAGCTGGAGTCGTGCTGCTCACAGGAGCTGCTGCCAGGCAGGGAGAGCTGATTAAACTTGGCCACAAGATTGGGTTCCTGCGTCTCACTTTTTATGGGTGAGTTTGGTTTTTGAGTGTCCTTGCTTTGCAGTCCCCTCGGATGTACTCCAGCTTGCTGGACCTCTGTCATGGATTGATTTATTAAAGAAATTTTGTTCTCTGTGTGTTAGAAAACGTGCTGTCAGTTAATACTCAGTACGAGAGGATTGCTTTGCTGTCACAGGCAGGGTGTGTAAAGAAGGGCAGTAATAACATTACCCTGGAAAATCCCTGGAAACACATGTCAAAATGACCACAAGGTAGTTGTACTTATCTATACCATGGAACAAAATCAAACATCCTGAATTCAGTCCCCTCCTCAACAGAGGAAGTTATCTGTACTGAAACTTTTCCTTAGCCTGATTTTGAGTTCTGGAAACAGGTAAGACTGAGGTGGTGTTATTGTGTCTCCCATCACTGAGAATTTGGGGGAGTACCCATTCCTCTGCTTTCCACTGAGCCTGCTCTGTAAGGCCACAACCACTCCCTGCAAGCATTTTTTTTTAAGAATGCTTTTTTTCAAAAGTAAAAGCTCAGCCCACAGGAGTGCAAGCAGGAACTTGTAAATCTTCCTTTTGATGCCAAGAGGTGGTGAACTGAACCTCCACCTCCTCAAGCACCTACTAGACAAGTCAACAAATGGTGATGGTAGCTTGGATCTTGCTGAGCTGTGCCAGTGACCTCCATCTGGCTAAGTAAAGGAGCAGCATTATTAGCTAACATATTGCCCTGTCCCTCACCCCCAGCTGTTGGTGTAATTTTTACAATGTATATTAAAAAAAAATAAAAAGTATTACTTGGATGTGTGCTTATTCTTGGGAAAAAAAAATGACAAAAACAGACAGTAAATTTTAAAATAATTGTGATATCTTAGTGCCTTAATAGTCACCAAAACCAGAACATTCAGGGCGTCCCATCTGAAAATGTCCTTTCTTTCCCATAATAGAATAAAAAAGAATAAAAATTATGGCAAGACTTCTCCTTCACTTGGATTTACCTCTAGTTCTGAGAATAAGTAAACAAACCGGGTGGGAAGAGCAGCCCTGAGATACCAGGAGAAATAATTAACTCAGAATGTTAATTGTGAGGTGAGGGGGAGGAAGCCAAACAAAAGGTTAATTTTTCAAGCTATAATTCCTATTAAGACTTATTGTTGCATCTTCAATTGGCAAGTATATTTCCATCATCAGCTTTGGTATAAGATGACTGGTATTTTAGAATCTAAAAGAAGGCTTTTAGATTGAGAGAGCAATTTTTAAGAGGCAAAGAAATAGCTCTTGTGATGTACCAGCAACATTGAGCAGCTTATAAATTGCTTCTGACCCAATCTTCATCCTTTATTTTTGTTTCATTTATGTTCAAAGTCAACCTGTTTGTGTAGAATTTTCCCCCATGCTTCAGATCAGAAAAGCTGGCTCAAGAAATCTAGAATTTGTCAGAAACTGATGTGAACTCACAGCATGTAGAACAGCCTGTGAGAATGGCATTTTTTAAGTCTTCCTTTATGAAGTGGCTTTCTTTTTTTGTGCCAGAAGGAAAAGTGGTTTTAAGAGTTAACTGGGATTGAGTCAAGTTAATCCTACTGAAATAAATGGGAGGAGAACCCCTTTGCTCAACTTGGAAACCCCATCCACTGCTACAGAGCACTTTCTACCATTAAAAGCATTCCTAATGTCAGGCAGTTCTGTGTTTGGTGCTCTACTAAGATCTCAACCTAAAACTTTCACTATGAAAATACTGCTGCTTCCTATTCCTGTTTTAACAGGATCCTAGTAACAGATACAAGGAGATTCTTATCATATCTGATCATACTGTGGGTGTTTCACAGCTTTCCTCAGTATCTGAAGGATGAAACAGTCGTTCTGTTTGTATCCAGACAGCTGCACAAACATTTGGAGTTAGGACTGGATACAGAAAGTCCCAGTTAGCAACAAAAAATATTGGTTCTTTGTTAAAGCAAACTGCTAAAAGAAAATACGTAGTATCTCCAAAATACCTCAAGGGAGAGGGGAAAAAAACCCACCAATAAACTAAATGACAAAAAAAAAAAAAGACAACATACAACCCTTTCAAGATACACCATGGATTTGTGCCACAAAACCTTTAGTTGCTTTCCTTAGTTTCAGGAATGAGGAATTGGATCTAGAAGTTTAAAGTCAGCTTCAATTAATGTTTACTCTCTTTAAAAATGGCTTCAATAATAGTGATTTGTCAGGATGAGTTCTGAGTCTTTAAGATAGATAGATAGAGATATACATATATATATATTTAAAAGTGTTCTAATACATCCTACAAAGAACCTCCTGCCCATTAATGTTCCATACAAGATCAAAGTTGAAATGTGACCTTGGTCAACATCATTTGAGTGAGTTCCTTTCACTGTTCAAATCAGATTGTGTTAATCTGTACTGATTTAACCTTATTTTTGTTTCTTTAAGTATTAGGGTTCACAATAAAGGAATGATAAAAGGCTGCATGTCTCTTTGTTTTCCCCACACTTATTTGCTAATCCATGTATTTATTAGGCTGCAGAAAGAGGGTTTCAATGTTATGAAAGTTTTCCAACTGAGTGTGAATTCTGCTTTTAAAAGAAAGCAGACTATTTAGTTGAGTTTGGGTGTTTCAAAGGCAATAAAGGAAAAACAACTGCAGTATTTGAAAGTCTTGAAATCTGCTTTAGACCATCCCCACTGAGCCACCAGTTAGGTGGCTAGTTACTCTAGGTCCTGTGGCAGTTGCTAATCACCCTTCTGTGTATGATTAGGTTAATTCTACAATCTCAAATGAAAATCTGAAGAGTCAAAGAGACCCTGACATCCAAAGACTAGTCTGGATTTCGAGTAACAAAACCCAGCTCTGCCACAGGGCGAAGTCAACAAGCTTCGTACAGGTCAATGTCCAGCTCTGAAGGAGTGTGTGCTCCAGGGCTGAAGGGTATAAAAAGGACTCTTTAGAGAATGTTTTTCCTTAGGACCTCCACTTGGGGAAAAAAAAAAAGAGGGACGAAATCCAAAAATACTGGAAAATACAAGCAAGATCATGCATAAAATTTATATTGTATATGTAGTGGTTTAAGAAATTCTGCATAACTTATCCTTTTTTTTTTAAAAAAAAAAAAAAGCATTTTTAAAAGATTAAGTCACAAATGCTTTTTTTTTTTTTTTTTTTTTTTTTTTTTTTGTGGGAGGAGGGGAGTTGCAGTAAATGGTTTATTAGGAACAAATTTCTTATTTCTTTACCATGTATGGGTGGAACCCAACCTAAAATATTGTGGAGAAGAAGAGTTCTTTCCCTGTAGTATCTTTTCTTCTAATTTAACCTGTTTCATTTTCAGCTGTAGTTATTACAGTGCCTGACCTTGTTGCTGTTATATCTTTCTTGCAGAAACTCAATGGAGTGTTCAGCCTTAACAACAGACTTAGAGCAGCATTTTTCTGTCCATCTCTTCCCCTCTCAAGCAGTTCATTTCTTACTGGCATCCAGTGCTGAGGTGGCTTTTACAACTGTAGCAAAACAATAACTTTGAGTAATTCCCTTGCTATTTCATTAGCAGCCAAATACAAGGCCAACCAAATATTATAAATAAAAGGATAAATTTGGAATTGGCAAGCTTGCCAAATAAAACATTACCTCAACAGAGCCATGAATTTTCAACTGCAATGTAACAGTAATGAATAGAACCCTGACATGTGGAACACCAGGAGCCTTCTTCCTTGCCTAGATGCCTGTTTGGTACATGCTAAAATGTCATTACTGTAAGAAGTGGAAACATTCTCTGTATCAGCCATGTAATGACATCAAGGTGTCCCACCCTTTTCAGTGAACCTTTTTCTTTATGTAATGAAGGCCATTAACAAGCTCTCCAGTCATGCCACAACTCATTTCTCCAAATTCTGGTGCCCTTGGGCTCCTCCCCAGCTCTGAAGCCTTGGGGTGGCACAAAGGGCTTCCTTCAGAGCCCAGCTCTCCCAGTGAAGCTGGCAGAGCACCCCACAGAGCCCTTCAGCTGCAGGAGGGGACAGGGCTCCCGCATCTATTATGGATGAGACAGATTTTTAATAAAGTGCAGGGCCAGATGATTCCAGTGTGGCTTCAGTCCCAGTGCAGGGTTTTGGAAGGCAGGCTGTAGCAGACAGGTTTTCTGCTCAGGCAGGCTGAGCCCACACTTAATGCAAGAAATTACTACAGCTGCCTGGAGCCAGATTTCCTCCCCTGTCAGACAGCCTGAGCGATTCATGTTGAAATCTGACCCTTATTGTTAAACCATAAACCATTCCACCCCACTCTGCTCTCCCTGAGTGACCAGAGTCCTCTGACATCACCCACATCTTCTTCCTTTACTTCTCCTGCTCTCCCCCCATGACCAAGTTGATACCCTGAGACTTTGACACAGTAAGGTTGAGCTTTTCATGTTCAGCACTGAGCTCCCTATTAACATCACTGTCTTCAAGACAGTGACTTGAGCTTTCACTGGAGGTCCTTGCATGGAAGGAAAGCTCCTGGGGACCAGCTCCCCTCACAAAGTAACAGCACAAAGGCACTGCCTGCTTCTGCAAAACCTTACCATGGTTTTATAAAGTCCTCCTGTTCCTGCAGCTCTATCTGCTGCATATAAATGAGACAGGAAAAATGTATTAAATTGTTTTAGAACCTTCAAGTGACATTGGAGCCTTTTAAATTAAAGAAAGAGTGAAGCTAGCTACCTTCCAGATAATGACAAGAATGATATAACAGGCAATTTTTTGGCTGTAAAACAGGGAGCTACGGAAGCGTGGTTGGAAGGCTCACACTTAAGTACTGAAGTCATGTACTGATGAATATGTGCTGTATCAAATAATAAAAAATTGTTTTCCCAGGCAGTTAAACATGTTTGCAGATATTCAAGGGGTGTTTCTCCCTGGCAATCTCCAAAATTTAGATTTGGCATTTTGCATAGTTTCTATACTAAACACCACTCCCAGAACAAAAGTGTTTGTATACTATATAGAAATCATTTTGCTCTGTATGTTCTTAAACTTCTTTTCTTTTTAAACTATTATTAAGAAGTAATGCTAGGCACACAGCCTCTCAAACAATATATTTATCTGTAGTATTTCACAAGGGAAAATGAGTTCCATGCTTTCTTTTCAGTCCCTTCCACTCCTGTGGTTCCACGGAGTGGGCACGTTGACATATGGGCACAGTGACTTACACTTGTCCAGACAAATATCTGGGTCTGTAGCACGCATTTGCTGAGGGGCTGTCTTGAATCATGTGAAGTCTGCACAAAAAAAAAAATGTGGGGTTCTTGGTGTTACATTCTCCTGCATGGTGTGTCGCTCAAAGCAGATTTTGATAGTGCTGCAATATGATGTATTTATGTCTTTGTCATATTACTAAGACTTTTTTGTCCCCTCTATGGTTATCAGCAAACTTTTACTGAATTTTGTGAAATTTCAAGACAGAAACTACATAACAAAATAAATGCCTGTGGTTCTCAGAAACAGCAGCAGAGAAAGGGAAGAAGGCACAAACTCCTTTATCAAGACATCTTCCTTTAGCAGCAAATCTTCCAGTTACAGGAAAGATCTCTCTGCAAAGGACACTTTATTTTTTGAGATCATAAAGCTTTAAAAAAATTCTTTGGGAAAAAGTTACATAGCCTTTAACAGCTCCATATTTCTTTGATAAAGTGCTCCACCTGGCAGGGAAAAAGAGAAGGTTCATAAAAAGCAATAAGACAACTTCCATTCTATGATTTCTGAAGCCTCAGTAACAAGCTGATGATTTATCCTAGCAGATACCTCTTGGTTAGTGTCTTAACTGATCTTTGCATTCAGCAAAGTACCACCACTGGAAAGCCATCACTCTGCTAGATACTGCACTGGGACCAGATTTCCCTTGGCACCCTTATGTTTCTAGCTTGACTCTAGGGCTGCTGAAATAAGCCTTCTGTGCTGCTGGGGGGCACACTGCTACATCATTATTTCCTTATAATTTTACAGTGTTTTCACGTTCAGAGATGGAATCACTCTTCTGTAGTGGGATTTCACAGCTTTGCTGTGTACTGGCTGGCATGCTGGCTGGCTGTTTTAACATGTTTTCTCTTTTCCCTTTCCTTTTGAAGACCAACTTGGCAAGTGCAAGACAAAGCAGATGCTAACAATGTGGCTTATACAACAGGGAAGCTGTGTTTTCACACAGATTACCCAGTCCTGCAGCACCCACCTGGGGTAAGGTGAATCTGCACATCATACACATGTCTGTGCAATAGACATCTTATGATGTAAGTTCTGCATAACAAGCCTGTTATGTACCACAAAAATTTTATAATTAAATTCACAAAGTGCTGAGGATATTATGATATGAGTAAAGGTTACTGTATGTGCTTTCAATTCTGCTTTTATTATATTCAAAAAGTTAGGTTCTAAATGCTGTAGTCAAGTTGTGACATCTCAGAGCTCATCTGTTCACCTCAGGAGGGGAATGTGTTAGAAATATGATTAAGATGTTCTGTTCAATTTTCTGTGAATTCATTGAAGTTAGACACTTATTTACCCTTTCATAATAGATAAAAAATGGGCATTATATAAAGCTGGACAGCAACTGCAGAAAATATGTCTGCCCCTAGTGCTTGTCCTATCAAAGTCTAATCCACATAATTTGCCAGAGAACTAGAAAGTAGCAGGAATAGATACAAAGGAACAAAGATAACCCTCGAAAAGTTTGCATCTATAGACCTTCCCTTGTAATGTTTTAACATTACCGATATAACTTTATATCAGTTATTTCTATAATTAAATAAAAAGCCAGTGTGATTTATCCAGAGGTAAGTACCAAATATTCAACACTAACCTCATCTTTTAACATCATTTAGATACTGTTCATTAATGTGGAATAAGAGTGGGACAGGAGTTTGTTAATAGAGAGCAGATGTGAGTTAGCTCACTCTGGTCTGTGCCAAAGCTCACACTCTGCTATGAAACATTAGGAAAAGAGCATAACCTTTTTCATTCAAACATGCTTGTAAGAAATAAAAGTATTAAAGTACACTGAACTATTTTTGAACATTGTCCTGAATGTGCAGTTTTCTTTATCTAGTTATTACACAACATTTGAATTCTTAAGATGTATTTAGTACAAATAGTTGAAGAAATGTTTCTAAATGGATAATGATTAATTTCAGCACTGTCCCATAAAAACAGTTCTAGGATTTCCTAGGTTTTGATCTGGCAACTATTTTTCTAGATGTCCTGATAAAATAAAAAAGAAAAACAAAACCACCACCACCAAAACCACCCTAGTGATGGCTGAGTCTAGCAGAACCATCAGCTCTCTAGACTGTAACGCTAAATTCTCGTTTGAATTAAACTCTCCCTTTGAACTTGTTCAGAGTCATTTACCATGAAGTACATGACCCTCCCCAAGGCCGGCCATGGCCACAGAACAAAAGAGCTTGTTGCCTTGTGCTGCCTTCAGTAGGAGCCTTGAGTCCTCCCCACAGCTTGTTGGCCGAAAGGAACACAGCAGAAGGGTGGGAAGCTCTTGTTCAAACAGAGAAATGAGCTCTGTCCTTTCCAGACAATTCCCCTTCTGCACTGCTCCTTATTTCAGTTTTCTACTTCGTCACCATCACCAGGGTCTGCAGGTCCAGCTGGTGAGGAGATTCTGGGACAAACCCCATTCTCTCTGCTCTTCTTTCTCCTCCTGGATTTGTTGTTGTTGGCTGGGTTGGGTTTTTTCTCCTAATGGTCTCGGACATAATTCACCACCATGGAAGGGCAAGGTGAATGCTGTCACCATTGGTGTAACACGCCCTGTTGTTTGGCTGAGATGAAGAGTTAGACTTTGTGTGACACTGGACTCTCGTGCTACGGGGAGTTTTAGCTCCTGTGTCAGCAGCTCAGATCTACACTGAGATGTAAACCAAGAGCCCAGTTCAGACTTTCTGCTCCATCGTACAGCTTGGCACTGCAACATGATGTGAAACTGCCTTAATTCTGCTTTGTCATCGAGACTCTGTACCTGTTGCTTTCTGTGACAGGCACCTTCTCCCCTCTGTGAGCAGGTAATTCACAGAGGTTTTGTTTCTGCAGGAGAAAGGTAACCCTCCATGTTGAGATAAGCCTGAAACGCATTTAAAATTATATGACTGCCACAAAGAGGGGCTCCAAGGCAAGAAGCGAGAGCAGAGCTTTGCAGTTACCTTGCAGGTTGCAAGCATTAGCAGATATCCCAAATGGGATGGATTTATGAACATGTTACTTTAGTTTTGTGGCAGTCATGGCAGAGTTCTGTGAAGCTGCAGCAATCTTTTTCTGGGGAAGACAAAAACCAAAGCAACAAAAACACCCACACAACCAAAAAAAAAGAACCACAGCTATGAGGGAACTGATACTAATGAACTGTTGAATATGTAAGCTAATTCTTTTTGTAATGAGAGGTTAATTCATTCCAGGTTCAGTTCCTCCATTGTATAAAGCAAGCAGCCACAGGAGGTGAAAGTGAAATTGTGGATGGATTTCATGTATCCAACAAGCTGAAGAAACAAAATCCTCAGGCGTATCAGATCCTGTCCTCTACTGCTGTAGACTATACAGATGTTGGGGTCGACTACTGCGAGTTTGCTGTGCAGTGTAAACAAAGGATCATAGAGTGAGTAGCTTCCAGGGCAGGGAAAAGAGAACTGCCTGTGGCGTGGGGCTGAGGTGGCAGGAGAAGGGCTGCTCCTGCCACCTGCCGGGAACACGCGGCCTCAGCTCAGACTGCACCTGGTTTGGGATTAGGATTTTTGGGGAGGGGAGGATTTTGGGGTTTTTTTGCCCAGCATAGGATTTGCTCTGTGCTTTGTGCCAGCACAGCACAGCTTTTTGTATTTGGTGTAGCCACAGGCCAGCAGAAATGGGTGGGAATTAGGGAGCTCCCAGGTACAGCTGCAGGGTGACAGCAGCTGGGTCTGTTACTAAATTCCAGCTGCTGAACTGTATGGCATCTGTATGGTGCCAGAGAGGTCATCAGCTGAAGCCTTTAGATTAAGAGCTATATGCCGTAAAAATATTAAATGCAAATGTTCATAATCTGTTCTGAATTTTAAAAGTTTACAATTCTACAATTAAGGATTATAGAATATAGGGTTTTGAGCTAATTAAATGTCTGCAACTTCTCCTGATTGTCCCTTTTCCTAGTTAGGCTTAATTCTTAAAATTCAACTCAATCACAATCTGAATTTCACTATAGAAACATACTGAAATTCCAGCAGGATTGCTCAGTTGTTGTTTAACCTGCTTAAAATGTTTCAGTAACAACATAGCACATTCCTCTTCCCTTCCTTCTCTTTCATAGCGTGGATTCCAGAGGCCAAGCAGTTCGCATCAATTATAATAATGCAACAAGAGACACAGTGTTTGACATACCAGGTGAAAAAGTGAGGCCATTTTATGCAGCTCTAAAGGAATTTGATGATTTATTAAACAGTGCAGAACACAAGTTTACTTACAAGCTGAAACCAGGTCAGTAAGTTGCTTCTCACAATTATTTTTCCCATTTTCCCTAACAGTCACAACACTTGAGCATTGTTAACTCTGGTACTGAGAGGGAATTTCAGTGAATAGATTTAACTTCTTTGGCCTTCATTTCCATTCTTTCATTCCCTAACTATAAAATAAAGATATGAATAGTCCCTTATGTCTCCAGAGATGTTACAAAAGTAAATTCATTAGTGTATCTGCCTCATGCACTATGATGCTAGTGTCTTTAAACCATCTGTGAGGAAATTAATCTCTTTAATGAAATCATCTACAAGATCACATAATAAATGATAAAACAAAGTACTTCACATTACATGAGTACTATCCTTCCCATCAATTAATCCACCACAATGGTGGTAGAGGGGAGGGGGAGAAGGAAAGAAAGACTATAAGGTTATTTAATTAGATATTTATTATAACAGTGGCACACAAAGGAGAAAAAAATAAAATGTCATGCTAGCCTTAATTATGTGATTTCCTAACTTTCAGTGGCTTAACTTTCTTCTCAGAAACTTAACAGGGATAGTCATGCAGGATGTGTATAGTGCAAACAGGAGCAGACTGATCAAATCTGATTTGATCAGTCTGATCCTGGCCTGGATCAGAAACAGTGTGACCAGCAGGAGCAGGGAAGTGATCGTGCCCCTGGACTTGGTACTCTTGAGACCACACCTTGAGCACTGTGTCCAGTTTTGGGCACTAAAGGATAAGAAGGACATTGAGGTGCTAGAGTGGGTCCAGAGAAGGGCAACAAATCTGGTGAGAGGGTTGGAAAACATGCCTTGTGAGGAGCAGCTGAGGGAACTGGGATTGTTTAGCCTGGAGACTGAGAGGAGACCTTATTGCTCTCTACAGCTACCTAAAAGGAGGTTGTAGTGAGGCTGGTGTTGGTCTCTTCTCCCAAATTACCAACGATAGGACAAGAGGAAACAGCCTCAAGTTGCACCAGGGAAGATTTTGATTGGACATTAGGAGGAATTTCGTCATTGAAAGAGTGGTCAGGTACTGGAAGGGGCTGCCCAGGGAGGTGCTGGAGTCATCATCCTTGGAGGTGATCAAAAAATGAGTAGATGTAGCACTGGAGGCTGTGGTGTAGTGGTTAGGAAAGTGCTGGGATGGAGGTTGGACTTGCTGATCCTCGAGGTCATTTCCAACCACAAAAAATCATCTTTGTTGGTTTCACCCTTTTTACCCTTGCTGTGGATTTGCTGCATCTCTCCCCGTGCAACCTCTTGCCAGGGGACATCCTGACGCTGGACAACTGGCGGGTGCTGCATGGGCGGCAGAGCTACCCGCAGGGCACATCCACCACCCGCCACCTGGAGGGCGCCTACGCCGACTGGGATGTGGCCATGTCCAAGCTCCGGCTGCTCAGGAGGAGGGTGCTCAGCAGGGACTGAGCTTCCTCCTCAGCAAAGACTACACTTGTTGTCTAACCTCAGTGACAACATTTTTAAAATGCGTTTTCTTCTCCGAAGCTAACATCACAACTATATTTTTGAGTTCCATAAGCTGGGAAATCAGTTGTTTGTAAGAATTTAAGATTTATCTGTGCCCTGGTCTTTCAGTCTATACGGTGCACTGCTACCTCTGACAGTTTATTTGCTCTTTAAAATGAGTGTACAACATGGCTTGAATGATTACCACCTTTCTGGGCTGACTGGGTATCACCATGCCTGCCTTTGCTTCAACAAATATACTCCCTAGAAAGCTTGGAAGGCAGCATCAAAAAAGAGCTTAAGGTACTACTTAGCCAGGGTTTGTTATGAACAGCACCTTCCCTTGTTTTCAGAGAGGCATATTTTATTGCATAAATCATAACTAAAAGTAATTCTCAAAATAAACCACCACTACTGTGGATTTATACAGACCTTTCTAGGTAGAAAAGAAAACTAGGAAAAAAGTGTGTGGGGGTTTCATCTCATTCAGCAGATGCTGCATTCTGTATATCCCACTGTACATGTGATGACTGTCCCCAGCAGTACTGTGCTTTAACTGTGACGTTTTCCATGCAACAGAGTGAAGATTGCCATTTAGAACTTTAAGACATCCTGGTTTTTATACCAACAGTTAATAAGAAAAAGAAATTTTCTGCTTTTATTCTGTACTTTTCTAAAACCAGGTTTATTCTGATTTCTGCTTATTAAAAGTTATTATTGAACTGATTATGGTTTTGGCCTCATATCTGATCTCACACATGACATCTTGCAGACAGATAGGAAGTCATTGTTGCTACTTACAAATATCCATAGATATGATTAGACCTGGAGGCAGTCAGATTTGTCCTGCACACTTAACATGCAGCTAAAATACAACTAAACCCACAACTCTGAATACTTGCAGGGGAAGCAGAAATGAAAACAAACCAGAATTATTCAAGGCTGTCAATGGATCTAATTTTCCACCATTGGGATTTTTGTCAGTGAAGCATGCCCTACTGAAAACTCACACAAGAGCTCCCTGCAGTTCATAACTTTATGCCTGAGATATGGTGTATTTTACATACCCACACAAACCTGATGCACAATCCCAACTTCCGTGTCTGGCTGCCAACCCTCTGCTCAGCTTCGAGGATCCAGCTACTGCCTGTGTGACAAATTCAGTAAACACCTTTGCATCTTGCTGTAGCCATACAGGGAAAAGAGAATATTGCTGTAGCTATCTGCAAAGTAGATCTGTGTCAAAATAGACAATTGTACTGACACTTTGACAGGCTGAATAATGAAGGATGCCTCAGATGGATTTTTTTTCCCCTTTAAATCTGCACCAAAAAAGAACATTGCAAAGCCTGCAGTAGGTATGGCTTCTGCTCTGCCTGCAGTACTGGGCTGTGCAGTCACCCAGCATGGGCACCCTCACCAGCAAGAAAATTAGCTCCCAATAGGTGTTAGCAGACAACTCTAAAGAAGCTTTGGGCTGTGTCCAGAGGGTGCTGATGGACATGATTTCAGTTAACCTGTCCTAGTCCAGAAGCTGTAATGTCACGTTCCCTTTGTGCTGTCCATGACATATCAACTCTCCAGCCCGTGGTGAGCAAGTGGCTGCATCTAGTGGGTCTCAGCACAGGTGGAGACACAGCAAAAATCCATATTCACTTCATTATCTGCCAGTGCCTTTGCTGGTTTGTCCTGACGTTCTCCTCCCATTGCATTCCATAGCAACACACTTTGGATCCAATCCCACAGCATTGTTTGCATGTACAATTTTAAAACTTTTTCTTAGACATCAGATTTCCAGCTAGTTTTTAAAGCTTGCTGAAAGCAAGCAGCATCTCGAGCATATTGGTACCCTCACACCTCTGTGGGTCTCCTCAGCACAGCTCTGCTTCAGCTGCTGCTGAGCTACCTGCACAGCACATGTCTCTGGGCTCCTGCTTACTGTCCACACCACCAAAAAAATTGACATTTCCAGGTGCCTGTTGTGGGAAGAAAGCTGGATTAGCTGCCCAGCTTTGCAAGTTGAAATATATTGCTTTATATATGACCAGATATATCTGAAATGCAGTCTGGTTCCACTCTTAGTCTGAACAGGCTATGATAAGGTCAAGAAGTTGAAGAAGTAATTATCCTCATTAAAATAGCAATCATTTTGTGACTGATTCTTCCTTACTCTAAAGTATGTTCAGCTTCTAAGTTATCTGTACAAGATTACAGACTATAGAGCACATACTGCTGCTCAAAACTCACACTTCTGTAAATTCTCAGCAAATCAAATGCAGCCTTTCAACACGTGCAGTGTATTACTCCTGGAGAATTTGTATTTACTCTGTGCTGTGTTTTTCTCTGACACAAATCAGAGACTGTACTTGATGATTTTGTCTCAGATTCTCCCTAAAGCAAATGAGTTTTTATTCTAGTCTACACTTTCATAAAGCTAGCTGTCAGTTTGGGGCAAATCCACAGTTTCATGTTGGAAACTTGAAATCTCTTTTGGTAAAAGCTAACATAATAAATATATTTTATCTACACACTCTAAACTTACAGCAAAAGATCCCCTCACCCTGTTACACCAGTCCAGTAGCACAAAAAAAGATGATAAAGACTCAGATGCAGAAAGAGCACAAAAATCCCTTTTAAAAATGAACTGAACAAAGAACCCCAACCAAATGAAAAATCCAGGTCAAAACAAAAAGGAAAATACATGACGATTGCTCGTGCAAAACCTATTTTTCTATATATTTGATTAAAGTCTAGAAAAGGGAATTGTCAAAGCCAGGGAACTAGCTCCATCAGCTCTAGAACTGATATAGAATCAAACTTGAACCAAAGTACAGCCGTGGCGGCTGGAGCTATAGCTATAGCCTGCAACATCTCCTGCTGGGGAACATGAAAAGCAGTTGGAGCAGCAAACCAGCTACTGTTTTTTTCCTGGCAACTTAAAAGGATCTTCAGCACAACCACAACAATTTAGGGTGACCCCAAGGCTGCTCCACAGTGTGTCAAGGGCATCTGGTCAACCAAAGGATTAGGAGCTGCTTTTTGGGTGTTTTGTAGGATATGAGCTGGTTCTGTTAGCAAAGTGTATATAAAGTCAAATGTTAGGAATTTAAACAACTTTTTTTTTCTATTATGTCAAAGTGCCCAATAACTGTAAAGCAGACAGAGGATTTTCTTTGTTGCCTTGCCACGATACATGCCTTTCCCCATTAGCTGAAGGAAAATAAGGCAGGAGGTCTAAACATGTGGATAGCAGAGCGTGGTTTCTCTGTCATCCTTCCCTTCCAAGCAGTCATCTAGATCAATAACGACTCGTGTTGGCAATAACCGAGCTATGCATATCTTTCAAGTTATTTTTGGAAGCACTGAAAGCAGCAGAGATCACAGAGCAATGGACATGGAGAAGACGCAGCGATTTTCAGAAATCTTGACCTACTTTTTTATCTTTAATCAAACAGGAATGTTGTTATGAGTATGTGCTAAGGGCCATCTACTGCTCGTGAAAGGAGGCGGGTGAGGCGTGGGGTGCTGCAGGGAGCTCTGGAGCGTACCTTTGAAAGGCTGCTGGTGAGCTAGGAGCTGCCAAACTCCTGACAGCACTTCCAGAGAGCAGCAGGAGACAACTCTCTCCCTTCTAACCACCCGACCCCAAGCTGTCTCCAGCCCTATGCTGCCTCCAACACCCTGTTCACAACTCAGGTTCTCCCACACTGCTCCCTTGCAGCAATGTCTTCACTCTGACCAGGTAGGGGGAAAACCCTCCCCATCCATTGCCTTGGCTCCTCTGCAAGACTACCAAGAAAACAAATACACACCAGATCAAGTGATTTTTTAATTGGTTTTTTTTTTTTTTTTGGCAAAGACTTAGCAGGAGCCTTTCCTCATCCTTCCACATTTCCCCAACGCCACGTGGGTCTCTTACAGGCACACTCTGCAGAGACATGGGAATGGTTGGTGAATTGCACTTGCAGCTTCTCCTTGACTTCCTCACTCCCCCGCCCTCACAGCCCTGCCCTCACAGCTGCAATCTGCTACATTCTCTAGCTCTAGACACTGTTATTTATAAGTAACATGCTTTGTGTACTACTCACTTTTTACCTAGTGCTGTTACTTCCATTGTTATTGGTTTTAAGAGCACTATTCAATCATAATGGGTAGTTATCAAAGCTAAGACCCACCGGTGTCAGAGGACAAAGCATTGCTTCCTCTGAAGCACTTCAAGCACCTCCACATCTGAGGATTTACTTCTGACTTTCTTGGGTTGTTTTCAGTCAGATTAATTATTTTTGAGTAAGAAGATGCAGCAGAGGGGTAACCCCACATATTTCAGAGTCCACTTCTGGCTACACTTGCTGTGGGAAGAGCTCCTTGCCCACTCTGTGGGGTTTTATCAGCCTGGCAGTTACTACTCAGTTGTTTCTTTCCCTGGATTCGGTGTTTGCAACCTCACAGCAGCAGTGACAGGAAGAAGCTGCAGCCCAGTCCCGTTCTCTGTGCAGGACCTGAGCCAAGGCCAAAAGGCAACCCACAGAACTATGCCTGTGGCTGGACTGGCCCCTCGATGTCAGCTGTTCAGTCACTTCTGTGGGAATTCAGATGAAATCTGTGGAAATGTAACGAGGTCAACACCTTGTGAGAGGCCCACTAAGGTCCAGCAAGATTCAGTATGGCCGGTGGGACTACAGCCTAACCCTAGCTGGAGGAAGACACCAAGTCCTGTTTCATTTTTGGATGCAACCCGTGACCCAGTTCAGGTGGAGCCAAGTTAAATTCTCATGAGCTGCCTGGATGATGTTCTCCTTCAGCAGCTGATGACGTCCCCAGGGAGCTGCACTCCAGGGGCACGTTTTCCTGCACACCACTCTCTGCACTCAGCTGGGTTTCTGGTCTAGGTCCCTCCCAACGGTTGGTCTCCCTCCCATTATCATTGCTGCCTACTGCAATGGTGGATGGAGCCCAGAAAC